ATACCTATATAGTATTCCATGCTCATGCAGCATTTTCTGACAGCTACACCATTTCAAAGCTCAGGAATTGAAGACCTCCCTAGGTGAAACACAGCAGACATTCGTTTAGAATACCACTCTTAGAATTAATGGTATAAGGCTTTCCCAGCAGCCACAAATACTTGAAAGTTTTTTTTTTCTGTACATAATAAATAAATCAAACCGTCTTTTGTTTTATTAAGAGCAGGGCTAAGAACGGCCCATTCAAGATAGTATACGAGGTAAATCCATGAGCCTTCACTTCACTTTTGGTGGTCTTGACTTAGTTGCCTGGGGCTGCAGTTACCTTGGGAACTATATGATTTGAGCCTCCTCCCAAATGGGAAACTAACCCACAATCTAAAACAGACAACTGAATACCTCAACCACCTAGTTCCATCTGCCCTCAAGATAAATGAGACATTTAAGGTACTCATCCAGAGCAAGTACCGATGCCCCAAAAATATTGGTTTTCTGTGATGTAAAAAAGTAGCCACCATTGGTAATCTTGCTAAAAATGAAGTTAAAATAATTAATAGGTAACAATTTCAAATCTGCATTACTTTGTCAACACCATGCCAAGTCAGATACTTATACAATCAGAAAGATGGCAAACTACAAGTATCTAAATTGCACGACAAAACCATATCCCAAAAATATTGTAATCAAACAATTTATTTTTGTTCATTACCTAAAGAGCAACAATAATAGTAAAAATTCAATGGTTCCACAAATTACTCACTTTACTCTGGATTGTATAATTTTAATCAATTTGAAGTAGCTGAAGACTTACTTCTTACATGGGCTTGATGGGTTGCTGGGAAACAGCTAAATTATGCAACAGTATTCAACAAATAGGTCCTAATGCATTAGCAACACAAGAGGATGGAGTTTAATGATCTAGAGAGAAGCGGACATAAATCTCCCTTAAATGGCACGGTCAGGGCAATGGTATAGATTCCACTATCAGATTTTGCCTTTCCAATACAGCAAAAGCTGGAAATGGAACCTAGCCTTTTTACAGGGCAGTCAAAGCAACCCCAAAATTAAAAAAATTAAGCAAATACGGGCAGGACATTTTATCCTGCTCCTCACAAGCCCTCAACAGGTTTTAATGTAATTTCCTCAGTGCATTAAAAAATAAAGCTACTTAAAATAAATTGCATTCCATCTGACAACTTAATCCCCCTCTCCTAATGTACAAGGTCTCTGAGGGGCAAGCACATTCTGAGTATCTGCCTCCTAAATTAAAAAAAAAAACAGCAGATACAGGGACCAATACCTATCATTAAGATGTAGCCAAGAGAACTACTGGATGATTAATCTTGGCGTTTTGTTGATTAAAAACCTATTAATCACCATGGATTAGTCCAGGCCCTGCACTTGCTTGACAAGGGGTGTGGAAGAAAACGTGGTTGTCAGAATGCTCTAAAGGGATAGTCCAGAGGTCTCAAGAGAGCCATATGAAGGCCTCGTTTTCTGGAATAGGCCTTGTCAACATGAGGTCTAAAAACTGCTAGGCCTCACCACTGACAGCCTTTCTTGACAGCATGTTGCCAAGGTTCTTTTGTCTGTTCTCTTGTTTAACAATTATTTACTCTGCTGTTTAGGCCAGGGGCGAGGTCAAAAGACATACATCAATGACAAAAATGGACCCCTCCACATACACAGATATATACAACCACCCCCCACCATCATTTTAGGGACTGACACAATGCATGCGACATCTGTTGCCCTTCTCCAAAACCCTCATGCTGATAAAGCAATCAAAAGAAATTTAATAATACCCTCCCTCCCAAAGAAGGCACAATTTAAGTTAGCAGTGAAAGGCAACTGAATATTACGTGCAAAGAAATAAGATGTACAGGTAATAGACAGATTCAGTTGCAAATCTTCTACCCTCTCACTCTGAAGAAACAGTTTACAGTCTACAATTATGAGTCATTCTCCACCACAGTTTTTCCCCATAATGCAGCTAGCAGGTTTATCCAACTCTCTTGCTAATGTTTCAGTTTACAGATAACATTCCCACCCTTCAGTCAATCTGCTGCTGAATGATACACGTCTGTGGTAAACCCCACCCTCCTGCTACTACAGCCTCTTTGATCTAGCACTGTCCCTATTGTCACATAAAGATGCTATCTGTATTTTACGATCCCTGGGAGAGAAAAATAAAAATAAACAGCAACCACACCACAAGTGCACATGGCGTTTGTCTGTTATGCACAAACAGCTGTGCGAGAGTATGTCCATGTGAAGCTCTGAAATTAGGTAAAACATTCCATGAGAAAAATTCACATGGAGAAGTTTGGACTGATTGCCATAATAAAGTACAATATCCCAGCAATTTGAAACAAGATTGCTGAACCACAAAAAGATCATCATATGGAAGAATCAAAACAATCCTTTTAAATGGTCAAATGTGGAAGGTATAGGAGCTCAGGATCACTGACAACTAGACTGCACAACTTGTGGTTATGGACTATTTATATTTTCGCAGTGTAAAAAAAAAAAGACAGCTTGGGGTTTGGCACACAGCCTCCTTCAAACTGTGTCGGCACGAGCTCATTGACGAACTGTCAAAAGTTCAGTACTGTACTCGCGGTCTTCCACACTACCACACTCCGGCTCTGGCTGTCTCTAACTCCACTGCTTGGATGCAGGCCAGCCTGCTACTGGATTGCCAGAAGCCCTTTCCTGGAAGGCCGAAGAGCACAAGTTGAGAGTTGATTCTGGCGGAGCGCCAGGCCACACTTCGAGGATTTTGGCTACAAAGGCATGCTAGTCTCTTGAGAGTAATGGTGTGACACAAAGACAACGGATGGGACACAAAGGCAGATTAACCATTACTCCCAGCAGGAGCAGTTCACCCTTTTAGTAAATCAAAACAAAGCATGTGAAAAAAGAAAAAGAAAAATCTGATGCAGGGTTATTATTGTCCAATAAAAATACACCTTTGCATAAGCTTCATAGCCCCGTTCTTCATTATAATATATACATGTATCCATTAAAGGAAATAAAGTAAACAACACAAATTTAAACCAAATTCTATTTCAGCTTTCACTGGTTTGACAACAAAATTTATTTTATAAAAATAATAGACTAAGACCTCAGGTCTAAGGAGGACAAAGTGAACTATCAGAAAGTTCAAGTCAAGAGTATGGTTAAAATAGATGATAAATAAATGGTTAAATTGGTTTGCTTGTAAAACAAAGTTGAATTGACTTTGAGACTCTGAGATGCATTACAATAATCTCTTATTACTGTATCAAGTTTAATCCCCTTTTGTCTGTTTAAAAGTTCATTTGGCACTGATCAATATAATTTGTAAATCTGAAACTACTTACATTTCTAGTGTGCAAATGTATTTTGGAAATACACCAGTGGGTTGTGTGAAAGTATTTTACGCAACGCTAAAAAGAAATCCTTTGTGGTAATGAAAAATACAGATCACATTTTGCTCTCAAAACGAGATGTGAAAAAATAAGATCCACACAAATGTTGGGGCAAAATGGCTACTCCACTACACTTCAGACATGACTCCAATTATGGAACAAATAATAGGTTTATTCCATTCTGAAATTTTCAACATGGAATAAACCCTTACTTGTTCCTTTACAGCCTACGCATGCTGATGCAGCTACCCACCTGAACTACTTCATGACTACAATTATATTTAGTACTGTTTATTCAGCTGGGGCATTACTGTCAGACAACTTGATATCCTTGTTTGTGATAGTGAATCGATTTATCCGAGTTGTTTCAAGGGACAACCAAGGAGCTGATAAAGCTAGTTTTACCTTAAGCTCATACCACTGAACATTAGGATCAGGCAATGGGTTTATTCCATGCTGAAAAGAAAAGAAAGGAAACACAAAGTTTCGGCTGTGAAGCCTTCTTCAGGCGTGAGCCCACCAGTTTCACATCAGATCATATGGAAGTGCCAGGCAGGAACTTTAGCACACAAACACAAGCTAGTCACTGTAATTACTGAAGTTACATCTTGCTACACAATTGTGACTATTGTGTGCATTGTTCATTTGACATTAACGGAAACAATATGAAAATACTTTCAAAGAATGACCACACTTTCTGATGTGGCATCTGAGACTGTGAAAGGGGCTGAGATATGACTCACTTTTGTTAGTTCACAGCTGGTGCTCTGCCTGCCATGTTGAACAACAACAAGAAAAAAAACTGAATGCAGCCACATCTTGAGTACAGAAATTAAAAGCTGACTAAAACAGCAGAATAGACAAATGCCTCCGTTCCTAGAAAAAAAAGTACACTTCTAGTAAGCAGTCTTATCTGACAGGACCTGCTGTTTTCACTCTACTGAAAAACTTTTTTTTTTCCAAAACCAGCCACAAATTAAGTAATGAATAATTATGCAGCTGGAAAATGGATATATGCATTTCAAGTTGAATATGCACATAATTAAAACTTCACAAAACCTACATTTTAATTATTAATTGGTCTATCATAATATCAAATCAAGGGATGGAAGATGAGAACACTACATTCAAAGACTTAGGTTAATCCATGTCTACTAAAGAAAAGTCCCACATCAATTTCAGGCTACAGTGGAGAAAACTCACATTCTATCCAGCTGTGGATACAGCTTCCAGTTTGATAAGTTAGCCCCCACCTCAGAGTCCAAAAAGAATAAAGGACACACTGGACAACTATGCTAAATCTGATATCTCAACATGCCAATTAGTGAGACACACAAAGAATCTCTCATCTATTTACGTTTTTCAGAGTTGGATTTAAAGAACCCTGTCATCGTGTTTCTGGTGGACATTCATAATCCTCCTTTTATCTCGTTTTGAGATTCATAGGCAGAAGAATATGACATGTCTCAAAATTTAAAGTGAGGCACCCCCCACAAAACAGAATGATGATAAAAATAGGACTTTTCAGTCTTCACATCTTTAAACCAGCATCAAGGAAATCCTCTGAGTGGAAGACTAAAGCCTTACCTGTTTGAACTGCTCGTCGTAACTCCAGTCTGCTTGTCCATTTGGGGACGTGGACGAGTGGGGTCCAGTTGGGGAGTGACTCTCCTCTTCAGGCTCCTGCTTCACCTTGACAGCAGCGGGTGGGGCACTCGTTGAGCTAGCAGGGGGGGCATAGGATCCCGATGCAATGCGGTGGCCTTGTTGAAGTGCTAGAGTCTGCTTCCGGAGGTACTCTAGTCCCCCTCCTTCCTCCTCCTCACTTCCATCCTCCTCACCTTCCATCATATCTTCATCCTCCGAGTCCCGGCCTCCATCCTCTTCCTCGTGCTCCGAATCTACGCTGCTCTGGTCCGAGGCCCTCTGTCCACCAGCGATTCCTCCGGGCAGACTCTTATTCAGGTACCCCTGGGACAACTGACTTCCTGAAGCCCGGGCAGCTGCCAAGATGGCCTGCTGTGCTGCTACCTGCTGGGCATACATGATATGAGCTTCGCGCAGGTGGCGCTCCTTCCTCTCGCGGTTTTCCATTTCGAGACGGGCCTGCTGCTGTCTCTGCAGCTGCTCCATCACCGCCTCCAACTTGACCCCGGCATGGGCTTGAGGGTACGGTGGGCTCAGGCCCTCCTGGGACAAACTGGGCTAGGTGCACAGAGAGAGAATGGAAGAGAAAGGGGGTCAGTACATCAGCAAAAAAAGGGTAACTTGAAGCAACACTTCACAAAACAAATAGCTGAGGTCCAATCAACCTTCTCCCTCTTTCTAGACTTGCAGATGATGTGCAGTGGACACAAAAACCTGCTTTTTCCTTAACATGTGGAACAGTTTGATAACATGGACATGAGTGTAAAGGAGCAGTGTGCCTTCATATAAAAACCATAACTTCACTTCTCTCTCTAACAGTCATAAAGATATAAAACAAGATGCTTCATGCCTTCGGACAAGGCAAGTACATTAAAAGAAGAAATGTTTTCTTGTTTAAAAAAGCAGGAGCAGAAACCATATATTGCCAACAAAAGATTTTTTTTTACTGGATTTTAAGTTTTTTTTTCTAAACTACTTTTCTGAACTTGCATCAGACATCCTGTAAAATATATTTCTCCTTAAATCCTATTATTTTTTCCTAAATCAAAACTTCTGTCAAAATCTGAAGCACCAACAATGATGACCACAGATTTTTCAATAAGGTTCATCATACACATTGATTCTAGCACACTCCTGAATCCATAAAAAGGACACTGAAAGCAAGATACAGAGATCTTTTTAAGATAACTTTATTGGCCATATACAATTTCTTGCATTTGGAATTTGTCTTTTTCACATACCCCAGCTTGCTCTCCATGAGACACAGACACACAGACAGGGAGAGAAGCCTGGGGTCAGAGTGCAGGGTCAGCCATTGTACAGCGCCCCTGGAGCAGGTGGGGTTAAGGGCCTTGCTCAGGCGCCCAACGGAGTAGGATTCCTCTGCCGACTGCGGGATTTGAACCGGCAATCTCCAGCCACAGGCGCAGATCCTTAGCCACAGAGCCACCGCTCCGCCCCAGCAACAGCAAAGATACAGCATCCCTCGATTTCACATTAATCTAGTAAGTATACATTCTGAAACTAGAGTCTGACAAACCCAAATTAATTTTTTTACCCACTTCTGTCCTCATGCCTGTATTTCACTTTGTAAGTGACAGCATATACTTTCCCACTCTGTCAGTGAATGCAAACACTGATGTGATAAAATCCAAACCAACATTCGATGTTAATTTGTGCATAGGCTGAGGCAGAAAAGGTTAGCCTGCTCTTATGACCATTACTGGGATTTTTACATCTTTCAAAATATAGAAAAGCCTGTATATTTGAGAAAAGTGTAAAACAAGCCCTTGAACAGAGCTCATATTTTAAATGGAACAAGTAATATGTTTATTCCATGCTGAAAAAAAGAAGAAGAAAGAAAACACAACGTTTCGGCAGTGGAGCCTTCTTCAGGTGTGAGAGAGACGAGGCAGCAGCATTATGGCGTTCGTTCAGGGAAATATTACAAATGCAAATAATCGATTAACTATTTGTATGGCATACATTATTACAATAAGTTACTTACTGTAACCCCCACCCCCAGAAAGAAAATAAACGCTTTAAAACGTACAGGAGTTCTTCAATCTAGATCATTTCTAGACTATGGACAGCTGTCAGAGCAGTGTTTTTCCTTCAAAACATCCACATTAAAATTTAATTGCCTAGGATCAATATCCCGAGAATTTCCAATTCGCTTAATGCCGCCCACTTTACTGTGAGGTATGCGTAACCTGTATAAGACAGATAAAAGAAATTAGTTGCGGGTTGTCCTACAACGGGTAAATCATAAATCTAAATAAACAAAAGAATGTTTATACATAATATCAGAACAGATGTGGAAATGTATTCTTGGTTCTGTTAAAAAAAAAGAGAGGGAAGCAATATGGATAGAAAATTACATAATTGTAGGTTTAAAAAAAACGTGCGTTTTCCCTATCTATAGCTCAATTGTACCCTTGTAATTATGAATAAAGTAATAATTCATTTAAAGATAGTAACTTAGGATATATGCGACATTATTTTAGCAAATATTTTCGATTTAACGATCGGTAAACTCAATATTTTAAGTTTATTAGAGGCTTAAAATCGATTGAAACTGATGTACTTCTATGGTAGATGCCAGAGATTTTACTAAAGGCATTTTAAATGATTTAATTAACACAAAATAAAGGCGAAACGTGGAAAAGGTTTGCATACACAGATGTACTTTACGTTTTAGTCACAAATATACCGACTCAATACTGCTGTTCAATGCGTAAACTACAAGCCTCGTTTTCCCCGGATCTGCAATAAAAGTTTAGCTCACACGCGGGCAGCCCAGAAGCAGGGATCGTGTTTTTTAGTTTAATTAGACTTACAGCATTCTCAAAATTAAACACAGGACGCCGCTGTCAAATATCTGATGTATAGCCTATTTATTTTAACAAAAGCTCATCTTTGTTAAAAAAAAACATACAACCGAAGACACCTTGTTTCACAAAGCTAAGCTTTTGTATTGAGTTCTTCCCTGTGGTTAAACTGTTTCCTAAAAGAAACTGTTTATTCAGAGACTAAAATATTTTAAGAACGTTTACAGATTATCCTGCTATATTTTTAAAATAATGTAAAAACAAGTTTATAGAACAAACTTGCATTGAACCATTTAGGATATTTGCACGGCGCGTTTCAGTAGGAAGGGAATGAATGAATCAAACCGTCTCCTTACTGTAAACTCAAGATATTATGCCTTTCGTTTTAACACAAATTATCGACTAACTCAGACCACTTGTAAGAGTAGCACGAAAACGTTGTAAATATACGTTTGTACGGATACTTTTATTACTGTTAACAGCCTGTTAAAATATTTCCAGGTGGCGGTTTACTATTTAATGCATCCTTTGAAGTTTGCAAAATGTATACATACCCTCATGTAAACAAAAAGCAGCACGTAGAACTAAATAATCCAATTCAAACCAAATCTCCCTGGACATAAAACAGACAATCGAAATTAGTCAAAACAGAAGTAGAGTTTGATTTCCCCCCCTTACAATCACCGATGTTCTGTTAATTTCCGCTCCGCTTTGGGAAGAGATCCAAACCGATGCCATTTCGCCTTGCCAATACTACCAGCGCTAATACATATCAGAGCTCAACGCTGATGGGTGAAAACTCACCATTTGAGCCTTGCTGCTACCGGAGTTGTCCACCATCCCTCCTAACCTTTCCTCTTTCTGGAACGAATTCAAACAAAAATCCACTTGGGTCCTGCAGTGCTCCACGAAATCCCGAAGCGGTTGAAAGTTAGCCGACCCTTTATGACTATGTACGAAAAGAGGAATTTCTTAATTTATGATTAACTCCCCCAGACCCCCCGTCTTCATTCCTCGGAACTGTGTGCCGGCTCTCACACTCCCTGCTTGTCTTTTTGCTGAATTAAACCCCCAGCCTAAGGCCCGCCCTGTCAGCAACAAGTTCCTGCCTCAGGGCTCAGAAACACTGTGGAATAATTACGGCACGTATGCAAAACATATTTAAATCTATGCAGAAATCCGCATAAAACTGAGTATCTTGATGACAGTGGTAGAATGGTAACGACGATCTTTAATGGGAAAAAAAAGTATTTTCTTAGATGAAATTATTGTTGCTGTTGATGTTGTGAGTGCTAATTGACCAATACCAAAGTAAGTGAATTTGTTAATAAGGATGTAACGCTATAACGCGCTAAATAACTAATAACAATTATATTGTCTAAAATAGAACGTTTTTAAACACGTATTATTGTGAATCAACATATTTTATTGTGTAAAGTTAGAAATTCAAATTATACTTAATCGAAAATTTTAAAAGATTTTCAATAATAATGTTTGTTTTAAAAGTGTACGGCTGGTTTACATTAATGATTCTACAACAGTTTGTACTGATAACTTGAAACCAACAGGCAAACACATGTAATGCTGCATGAAGCTGCATTTAGAAGCTTATAAATTCACCCATCTTAAGCAGCAAACTCTGCATTGATTTCCCAGATTTAATTTGTAGGTATTATGTATCCTGATAATTAGAACAATTGATATAATCATGATATCCATAAATGCTCCAAAACAACTTGGCATGCAAAAAATTACGTCAACTAGCTGTATAGAGGATAGGGTATAGAGGAGACTTTTTTAAGTGCTCAAACTACATTAGACAACAATTCACATGATATACAGTTTGTAGAAAATGTTAGAACAGGGATCTGTAAAGAAAATAATATAATAATAAACTTTATTTTATATAGCGCCTTTAAAGGTGGCTTCTCAAAGCGCTTTACAGGATGACAACAATAATATATAGAATACACAAGATAAAACACAATTACAATATAGAGGAGACTGTGGATGGAAACAATGTTAATTTCATTATAAAAAGTGGAAAGTAATGTACGAGTGAAGAAAGTTCCACAGCTCATTGCAGAATTACCCTCTGCTTGTTCCTTATACTGTTTATCCTAAATATACATTATTTTTCAGAAGTTAGATTTGATTTTCATCTCTTGGCAAATTTCAAAACTGTTTTTAATTGTACACTTGCTTATTGTTTATTTACCACTATATTTGTTGTTGTTTTTATGTGAGAAGCCCATATTGCTTTTTAAACTGGGAATCAGTGGCTTGTGTTTTGTAAAATATACTGCTCTGTGTCCTATGTAGTGGTCTGACTGTCATTATTCACTGCAGTTCATGCATGATTCCAGTGGAAATGTTGTTTGAAAGGTTATTGTTTCAACATATGGCAAAGAGGAAATTTTTATCAAAGATGTGCAGCTACAAATAACAGCCTGATAAAACATAAAATTGACCACAATATCTGACAGAAACTGAAAGCTTTTAACTGAACTTTTTTTAAGTCAGGTTGAGTCAGAAAGAAAATTACATTTTAAATCTAAAAATGAAAAGCTTTTACTTAACCATTCCTACTTTTCTATACAAAATGCTACATTCAACCTGCTTTATCAAAATTAATTTAGACTTTAACAATCAAGTATCTGCAATTAAATTAAAATGCCAATTAATATTCTGAAATGTCCAATTGTTGGTGTCATGGCTATACTTTAGGTTATTCTGAGCTGAATGTTGCAGCTTCTATGATACTTAATACATATCAGAGGGCCAGTCTAAGTTATGCATGTTTTATCTGCACTGCAGACAGACATATTTTTACACAGTTTCCATAACTAAAAAAATAAACATAAAAAAGACATCCATAATCTGGGTAACAAAAAAGCACAAATGCTTTTATTGCTTGAAAACAGCATTAAACTTTTTTGTTTGTGGAGAATTCAATATGTCAAAGGAGGGTTGCTTACCCTAATCCACATATTTATAGTGTTTAGTTTCTTTTTCATTTGAGTCCTGAAGTCTAAAGGAAGTTATGTTTTCGTCTGACAGTTTACCTAAAGAATTTTGCATACCACCAAAAACAAAATTAAAGAATTGCAAACATCTTTACCCAATATATCCCCAGTATATACACACTTTTCATTTTCGCATGAAATTTGATCAAATGTGATGTCTAACAGCAGTAAATCCATAACTCCATGATTGAGCACTAAGACGCTATTTACTTAACTGCTAGCATGTGAGGTCCAGGTATTAAGTACACAAGGTTGCTAAAATGTTAAAGCCTACCAGGATCATTTTTCAATGTATACAAAATGCTATAATTAGGCATTTTACAAAGAAAACTATTTGGTGAATGTGGGAGTGTATGTATGAAAGCTGAGGATCATCATACTTTAATGTATCATATGTTCTTGAGCATCATAAAAGCGCTGCACTGTTGCAATCTGAGGGGTTCAGATACTTAATACTAGAAAGTATTTAATATCAGAGCACATTTCTGCAGGCTTCCTCCCACATACTTTTCAACTATGGTGTTCCATCAAGATGTTTCTTTATTCCATCTGTCATCTGTATTTAATGTTTTAAAGAAAAATAACCCCATTTCTTCCTCTGTAGGCTGGGAAAAAGGGCTGGTTACAGTAGAAGGCAATCTCCAAAACCACCAAGTTCAAAATATGAAACAGACTTAGCAACTCCAATCTAACACCACATGCAAAGAGCACAATGCATGTGCCAAGAGAGAATAAAAAATCAGCAGTGACCTAAATGTAAAAAAGCTGAGAAACCTAGACGTCAAATTTGAAATTGTGACCATAGTATCCAAAGTTGATATACAGTGATCAAAACAACAGGAGAGTCAATAGAAACATCAGGTTTCAGTTCTCATTTGTATGTTTTGAAAACACCAGTGCAAAAACCTCTATCACACCTGCCCATCTATTCCAAGGGCATCAATAAGCAACGCTTGCAGGTGTTTAACAAGAAGCCCCTTCTCACGTTTCCATCTGCATCATTCTGCCATCTGATCTGGATAGCAAGTGACACTGCTTATTTGCCAGTAAATTTCATTAAGCCAAAGTTCTGACAGATTATCTTAGAAGAAGCCACTGTCAATGAAACTGTATGTCCTTAATTTAGATTTCTAACTGGATCACACCATCACAGTCTTTAAATGACAATCACCATTTATCTGAATAAAACCAGAAAAGTAGACCGATTCTTTGAATATCATCTAAACCATTTGTGAAACTATTACTGGTGATCAGAAGTCTTGAAAAAGGTCTTCCAATTCCAATGCTTAAAGCTACTGTAGTTGCTGTGTCATGGACTGGTATAATTAATTCTGAAAACACAATCAATAATATCAAGGAGTACAGAATCCACTAAATGAGTGAAAAATAGTGAGAATAATACAAATCTTTAAAGTTTCACTAATTTATAATGGAAACTTGTTAAAAACATCTGTTCTGTGATTGGCTAACAATTGGATTAATCGGTTATTCTAATGTCGAAGTATTTAAAGGTCAGTTAAACTTTAAGCCCATCAAAGCTCTTTGAAAGGGCAACTGTCAAAAAATGAATATCGGGTGGTTCTTTTTTTGTCTTTGCTCAATGAAAAAATGCATGCTATATGAACCATTTCCAAAACACCAGAGTAAATAATTTTATTTATAAACAACAGCACAATTTTCATTTATTAAATACAAAGCTTAAATTTTAATATATATAAAGGATAAATAATGTATTGCATTCAGCACTAAGTAACATTTAATAGCCTTAACTAGCAAAGTGAGTACAGAAAGGATTGTCAAGCGAGTTGCATAGTACACATATGTACAGCAAGTGTGACTACTTACTGCACTGTGATCAGTACAATATTTAAACACAAACATAACTGGAGTCAAAAACACACACATGAGAATTCACAAAGACACAGCAAATTAATACTCCTGCTCTATACTAAGTAGCACATTGCACCAAAAATGTCTCACCTCGGAAGAAAGGGTTTAAAAGGGTTTTTAAAATGTATATCTTAAGTAACAGGAGTGTACAGCTTGCAAACAGATGCACTACAATCTTTCAAAAAAAGTAACACAAAGTGTAAAACCCTTCTTGTAAATTTTATGAAGACAAATCATCCAGTTAATTTTACTGGTCCCTTGAAGTTTAGATAACATGCCAAGAAAATGACACATTATGACCAGTGGATTCCTTAACTTGAACTGAACAGCTTTTCAACATACTCTTACTGTAAACTGTGAAGAAGGCTTGGAAACCTGGGTCCCTCTGCAGGCCAGTGTCAAACATGCAGGGGATTAAAAAGCACAAAACATGTAATGTGCACAATATTGAGATGTTCTACACATCAAATATATCCTCATTGAGCTGTGAAGATAAAAAGAGATGATCAACTGAATTCCAAAGATGATCATAAGTAAAATGACCAGCAGATGTTTACTTATCATTACAATGAATGAAAATACAATCTTTTACATGGTGTTCACTTTGCTTTACATATGTATTGAGTAAGATGTATCCTACTCCCAACAATGCTTACTACCGTTTATACATCAATTAAGTTTTACTGCAATGCATTAACTGGATAAATATCAAGATACCAGACATTACAATAGTTGTATATTGTAACAGAATTGTAAACCTCAGTGTACTGCATACCATTTTCATTATCATGGCCCTTTCAATACTTCATATATTTGCCAGGACATCCTGACGTTTTAGCAAAAGCTTTCATTATTTCTTTTGTAATGTGATAAATCCCAGGAGTGTAATCTGAAGTATAAGTGATGAAGTCCTTCTCTTTTTTATTGGCTTTATTGCAGTCATAGAAGTCAGAAAAAAATTGCTAAGTGTGAAACATTGACAAGTGAAACCCTCAGTGTCTCACTCCTCACTTTGTATTTTTCCCCTCAAACAATGAACACCTCATGTTATGACAAGAATGAACAGTTAAGAGCAAATAATAGAGACAACAGGTAACATCAAAACCCCACAGTGTGCAAACACAGAAAAAACAACAAGAGCAATAGTAACTGAAATTGAACAGTCATTTAATGGATTTTTGAGAAATATAAAGATCACTAGATTAACTTTATGTGCAAACATTTGAGTATTTAAGGGAAAAGGGCAAGCAACTGTTTGTGTTACATAATCTCTTCTCTTTTTTGCCCAATTGCTTTTGAGTCAGAGATGTTTAACTGTGAAAGGCACTTACAACTCCAAAGCTGCAGTTTTCCTCTAGTGTTAGCAGTTATAGCTACTTCTGATAAGAAAGTAAGAAAAGTTAGTGTTTCTGCCTTTGTTCTGTTAATTTATATACAGCACTTGTCAGAAGGGCAGGGAAGTGTTTTAACTAAAACCAAATGGAAAACTGTTTTCTCTAGAAAAAAAACATCATAGTGTCACATTTTAAATAAAACAATTTGTATGAACGTTAATGTTATTTTGCTAGTGAAACATTTAATTTTTTTTTGTCCCACACCTCTGACAAGGAACTCTTTTTGATTACGTTGGGTAGAAACCTACAAGATGATTAGCAAGATATGTAAAATACAAATATGTTGTAAGCTACTTGAAGTACACTATTAAGTAAGCACACAAGTATAATGATAGTCTGATGGCCCAAGCCACAGATCGTTATTTTGAGAACCAGTACTCTCATTTCAAAAGGATGGTAGCTTGAAGAACTCTGCCAATGTGCCCCTGGTATCACACAATACGTTTCTTTCTGCAGAGAACTTATTTCATTGGACATAAAAAGAAACCTTGACCAGTGATACTTTGCCAAATCTCTTTTTTAAACGAAGTCCACATTTTTGACAAGGTCCATGTAAGGTCTTTATAAAAGGCCTTTTTTGTACAAAACAAATATCTATCAAATGTAGGACTAGGCGCTTCAAGAGAAAGAATTCCTGGAAACAATGCTAATAAAATGTCCCCACTATGCTTCAGAATGTGACAGGATAGCAATTCAGAATCCTTCTAACTCAGCAAATTACTAAAAATTATTACAAATTATTATTGATACAAAAAAACAGAATTCCTTGGATATTTCTTAACAAGAAGAAAAAATATCACCTGAAATTGCTATTAAAGTGCAAAGGGATTGAATTCAATCTGAACGTAGTTATCAAGGACTGTTACATTTTATACCTTATTCTGCACCATGAACTGAGAAAGAATTCTCCGTTTCAAAGTAATGAAGAAAGCAAGGAAAGCAAAGGCCTACCAATAACCTTTGTTATATCACCAATGTAAGTGAAAGTGCTTTTAAATGGTATCAAATTATTAAATAATCTGTCAGTAGCAATTTTGGTTTATGGTGTTTCTGAATGACCTTTGTTGTAACAATTTAGTAACAGACTGATCCTGGGATTGATAATGGGCATGATGTGATGCCACAACAGTGAGACAAATTACTCAGACCAACAAATGACAAAAGGAAACCTTTTCTCTGGAGATTCTTGTTGCATTTGTTTAAACCACGTGTTTTATTCCAAGAGTTTTTTGAATCTGGAAGTAGTTAAGAATTCATGTTATCTCTTCATCATCTGGAATCTTGTTAATAGTGGGATTATCAGGGAAAAGTTCCATACAAATAGTAGATTTTGTCCTTTTGTCCAAAACAACATAAAGGACAAATCAATCTCTACACTACATACTTTTTCAGATTAGTTTCCAATATATTACTGTAACAGAATTGGAAGTTCTCTAATAGCACCTTTATGAAAGTCTCATTACTTTGGTAAAGTATTAAAACCTGTTCTGAAGGCAAGCTCTGACAAAACGTTCATATTGAAAAAGTGGTGATAATTTAAACACCAAGACAGATCGCTTTTTGATAAAAAAGTGCACATGCACTAATCTGAAAACTGCCCAGTCACTCTGCAGCTACTCTCGTGAAAAGCTAGCTTGTGACTTTTAAGAAGCCCTGGAATGGAACTTTTTCCTCAAGGATCATAAAGTGTGTATGAAGATTGGTGCCCACACTGACCTTACAATACATTAGTATGACCAATGCAGTGGTGGTTGTGCCACTCCGAGCTGACAAAACTGTTATGCTCCTATAGCTACTGGATACAGCACAAAGGGGTCTCCACACAGCAGCAGGCACAGGTAGAAGAACCCATGGCTTTTGGAGGAATGAGGTCCAGGTCCTCATCATCAGGCATCTCATCCAGCCGGTAGCCATCCTGAAGAAGCTGCCTGTTCAGGTCCTGGTTTACCTGCAGTGAGGATAGGCAGCCATCTGTATGTATAGCGTGATCAGGAAGTAATTACACAACTACAAGAATAATTATACAACCCAGTTGTATCAAAACTCTGAATGATTAAAGTTGAACTAAAAAACTAGGTACCAATGAGATGCAATGTAATGACAAACTGCACTGCTTTAATAATAATATATACAGTAGATGACAAATGGAAATTAATTCGTTAATATGAACATTCATCTACAAATTAACCAGGACAAGGAGTTTTTAGACAGGAGTAAGATATGATAAACCTGGTTAGATTTTGTGATCTAACAAAGAACATGATCTGCAGGGTATGTACATAGCTGTGGCTTGTCTTGGCTGAAAGACTCACCTCTGCAGAAGAATATCCAGAAGAATACTGGGACTCCGGTTCAGCATCACTGAGGAAGAAACACTGGTAAGAGATGAGACTACACAAAAGGAACTGCCAGTCATAATTTGGTTAGACTAAAAATATTGATGTTTTAAATAAAATGAAATTTTTAATAAAACTTTAATCAGCTCTGTAACAATTATCTTCCTTAAATTCTTAAACCCTTGTTTCCTGATGTATATCTCAATAGTCAGAAAGAACATTGCAAAATCATGTACTAACACTATACAATAAGAATGTACAATAAATAGGAGTGTATATATAGTGTAGTATACATAGTAGATATTAGAAAGTTATAGGAAAACATAGGGTTACACTTAATTGTATATGTAATCAAGCAAATTTGGCTAGATGTAGCAATGGTGCCTTCTTTCACCACGTGAAAGCTTTAAGCGATTTTCACCATTTCAAAATGGTGCATAGTAAAGCAAGAGAAAAGCAAAATGAGTATTAGCAGTAAACATTAGCTTTAAATAAGTCATATAATTTTGTGAGAGAATTGTGTAACGATAGGTTCATCTGTAGAATTCTAAAACTGAAAGGAGGAGAAATGTGTCTTACCTATCTGAATCCAATGATACAAGTGCATCCTCAGAGTTTTGACTGAGAGCAGCATACCCTTTATTATACTTCACGCTCCTTGAAGAGAAGGACATTTTAATGTTAATATAAACACATCATTACTTCATGATTTTACATGAACTAATTTTCAATTTGACATATAATGTAGTTTTATGTACTATAACATATACTCCACAAGTGGAAAAGACAATGAGAGACGATATATTATTTAGGTGTTATAACAAAAAAAATGCACTTTGATGCATTTTTTTTGGTGCATGGTTACAGAATAAAAGTTTATTATATTTGAATGTTAATACAGCAAGATGCATCCTGTGTTTGAATCACATATGATTAAAATGTTTTCTTCTTCCCGTCTATGATACTTATAAACCACAGCAAACTGTCTTTCGTAAAAATCCCAGTGGTGCTATACATAGGCCCATAACAATTACTGCCACAACTGCAAGTATCTTGATATTAAAGTCAAATATCTTGCAATATTCCATAACCTTACTTTTTTAAAAAGTATGAATTTACTAATTACAAATTACAAAGACAGTATATGATAGTAGTATTCTTCTTTTTACTCATTGAAAACCCATGAAGTAAAAGGATTATAAACTGTTCACAATGAATGTAAAGTATTGAGAAAAGTATTTAAATACAGAATATTCATGTAAATAAAAGTGAAGTACATATAAATCACCACAAGATGGGGCTTGTAGATCTTTGAAACTGTGCTTTAAGAAATAACAGTGAAGAGCTGTCTGTAAAATATCACTATAGTTATCCATATATTTTGTTAAAACTACAAAAAGTAGAACCTCGGGGGTGTGTAACTTATTTGGTGTACTGAAAGGCTAGTAAACTGTAATCTCATTTCTTTCTTAAAACGTTTTTCAATGACCAAAATAACTTTATCGTACTGCACTCCTTCATTTTTAATTGTATCTCTCATGTCATCTTGTAAAGGTCTCTACTGCTACATGAATTACTACAGTTTAGTACAAGCCAGGAGCCTTACCTGGGACTTCACATATCAAGTGGTTATCCTAAACAAAAGCACATTCAAATTATGGAGTACCAGTTCACTTAAGTATACAAATCCTGAGCTTTTTCTCATTAATAGCAGCATCTGTGGTATTACTGTTGTAAAGGCATCCTACAGGCAAAATGTTTGCTAATGTTCAGAGAAATTCAGGACAAATCAAGTCCCTTCAGATAAGACTCAAGTTGGCTATACATGAAGACCGCAAATGAGAATATGTTGTGTGAAACTCATTTTCTGCAAACACAGTCCTTTCAAAACCAAATAAGAAACTACAACTTATCACCTTTCTTTCAACTTTACAAGGACCAGAAAACACAGACATTTTGCATTATACAATAGATAACTAATCCTAATGACAAGGGCAAAAACTATTTAAAAAAAGTCTTATTAAAGAAACTCAATTACAAATGCCATTAAAGCCCTGGATTATAAAATAAGTAGTAATTTAAATTTTATATAGGTTTTAGGATTTTATTCCGCCAAATAAGACTTTGCTTAGTCAATTGAATCTAGTTATTTTTAAAACTCTTACTCAATTATTACCTACTGATTATATTCTTGTTGGTTATTCACCATAAAATGTGATGATTACAACTTTTTTTTAACAGCCCAAGTACATTTTAAAAGTCTCTACATTAAGTTAACAGTTTGAAATGCTTGGAGCATAAAGAATATCTGCACATACATAAAGTCACATTCTTGATATATGAACACAGATTTCCCAAAGGGCTCAACATCACCAGGAATTCCAGGTTTCTTTCACAAAAAGAGAGATACTAAGACATGCTTGAAATGGGACATGAGTTATTTGATCCACCTCTTAGCTCCTGGCTTAGGCTGCTGGACCACGGCTCCAGCTGTCAACCCTTTCTTCTTCAGGGCCTTCTTTGCCATATCTCTGTGCCTTTCTGGTAAAATAGGTAAAATAAACATGACGGTCATTATCTTACTAATGTTGTGGTCAGATATAATAACCAAGATGGCTGTCTAGGCTGACACATGACTCCTAAATGGCATGAAGGCCAACCTTACCTCGGCAGTTGGATCAGTAAAGCTCTGCATCCCTCTGCTCCAGGGCTACTGAAGTCAAGAATCACACCTTTTCAGCTTTTGCAAAATTAGCACGAAACGAAGGTCTTTTAAAATGTTTTGTCAATGAGAGAGCAATTAAACAGCATAAAAAAATTTTATTTGTGTTACTTTGATGCTATACTGCATGTCATCACAAAAGCTGAACTATCAGCATCATAGAGCAACTGGCATGGTAATTGATGGATGTGATCAATTTAAAAAAGTTTCCATTTTCATTGTTTAGCTCTTAATGATGATGATGATGTAGTAGAATATGAAGGTAGCTCCAGAGAGTGTCACATGAGCTGACCACCTGGACAGAAACTGCAGCCACCAGAGAAACACAAACCGTGATCTGCATGACACTCCATGCAAATACATTTTCTTCCTTATTTTATTAATCTGATGCCGAATGCATCTGTAATTCTAGATTAAGAATCGAAGAATGAAAATTCCTATTTTATGAAATATGATGAAGGATGGGTGGCATGGTGGCGTAGTGGTTCGCTATGTTGCCTTGCAGTGCTGGGTCCCCGAGTTCAGTTCCTATACAGTAATCATAATACATTCAATCTGTACTTTAAAAAAGTAAAACCCTCAAATGAAGTAATAATGTTTTGGTTTCTTCCTGTTTAATTACTGACAGTTCTATTATTACTCTGAGCTTTGTGATGCCACAGTCTCCTTTGGTTATATTTTATATTTAGACAATGCATGGGTAATTCCACAGTTTGGCCGCCATGTGAGACATTGTGAGCAACTTAAGGTGATGAAATTGCAAGCTGATGTGAGTTGTACATATTTTAATACTGGGTTGATGAAGTTCAAGTAGGCAGCTGCATCAGCATGCGTAGGCTACAAATGAACAAGTAAAGGTTTATTCCCTGCTAAAAATAAAAGAAAAGAAACAGAACATTTCTGCTGTGGAGCCATCTCTGGGTGTCTTTTCGGCCTCCACAGTCCACAGTCCACAAACGATGAGCTTATTTTCTTTTCTTCTCAGCATGGAATACATATTTTAATACTGCTCTGTTTAGATTTATACAATATATTATTGCAATATTTTATCTAAACCACGTTAAAAAATAGATAAAGGCCAGTTGTTTTTTCATGGCTGCAATGGGCAAATACTTGAATATCTCAAAATATCCCTAGGAATTTCTAGCAGGTGCACTCACAACAATTACAAAATAAGTGACACTTCCAGAAACAGCACTTACGCAGTTTGAGATGAATTGCAGGAACTTTGGACATAATGTACGGGCCTCTCTTTTCTACAGGCCTCGCCCCACTCTCTGTCCATTTTGGTCTGCTACTGGGGACCTGACAGAAGATGAAAAAAGCAACACACTGCAAAGGCCTTCTTATCTATGGTGATTTCAGTTGGAAAGAAAATAAGCTTGTGCAATCACTCACCTGGGTATTGTGTGGCAGCCCCACTACACAACTGACCAAACCTATTAATAGTTTCAATTCCGAGCAGTAAGCAAGATATATCTAGTTAAACTGAAATAAGCACCACTCCTTAAACAACAACCTCAGTAAAGTGAAATGTGACGGTTCTCTGACGTCTTAAGAATCAAGCTTAATGGATTTTTAACTTATGAAACTTTATAAGTACTACAAGTACTTGTATCCATTACAATTAAAATATGTTTTTTTTTTATTTGAAATGTGAATTGTTTTATCGCGCGTAGTCAGACAGAGAGTGGAACCGCTCAGTTAGACTACCGCAGAAGACATGGCTACTTTCTTCTGGAATTTAGAAGAACCCACTTAAAAAAATGTAATTCTATTACAAAACAACTTTCACATAGGTACTTACAAAATATAAACTACAGACTCTGTTTTAACAGGCGAAACAGGAATATTTCAAATTCGGGAAGGATTCGCCATTGTAAGTACATTGTAAGGTATTGATTCTACCTTCTTAAAAGGGACATAAATTTACAATCTGGAAACCGCCTATCTTTCAAAGACATTGCCAGTCTAAACATGCACCAAAACGTAAACTGCGAAGAAAATACTATAATATCTACTGACATTATGATTTTGCATTGTCTATAAAATTGGATAAGAACATCAGCGGTAGCTGAACTATGTTTGTTTACCCACCAGTGTCTGTGGCGATTCCGGTACCGAAAGCAAAGAATCTTTCTCCGGCACCTCCATCTTCTCTCACACTGTTTTCACTTTAGCAGCTTTTCTCTATCCTCATTCTTTATTCTGTAGCATGGTGGCCAAACACGTTAAATATTTAGAATTGATTAAACTCAGTAGACTGTAACACAACTTCTAAATTGGCTATGCTGCTTTGACCCCACATATTGGTTCCGCTTCCCGGTGACAGTGAAGTACGCGGCAGACGCATGTACGCATGCGTTCAGCTGGCGGGGACGCGAGCGATTGTCCAGTGTAAGAGTGTCTGCCGAGCTGTGTAACGTTTTGCTTTTGCATACTTTCAGGAACAGTGAAGCAAACGTTAGAAGTATCACTCCTTATCACAGATTTCGTATGCTCCAAAAAGAAATTACTGAAGTGTGTACATCTTGAAAAAAAGATGCCAACGCTGCCCTTATGCATATGACCGCTTTGCTTTTAAAGGTGTGTGCAACCCCAGGAAGCTGCCTAGAAAGGACATCTGGTTAAATGCTATCTTTTACTTCGACCAAGAGCTGTAGGACTATCACCAGTTTTTGCTCTGCAGAAAGTTAATTTCAGTAGGGCGGGGGTACATAGCTATCTCTTTATTCTGCAGGTGGAGCTCTGCTAACAATTAAGTTTAGATTGGAAACATCACAGTTCAGGATTCACTGCCTGGTCCAGGTAGTTTACCCGTAACTCAGTGATTGAAGACTTCTTTTTAACAATATAATACTTTCAGATCAATGCAATCTCACCATCTGACCTTAATTCCAGTCCAAGTATCTTAACATTCAAATACATTTTTTTTTAAATATGAGCTCAAATTACAAAGCTCTTTCACAGCACACTGGGTTATACCCAAATGCTGTATGAAATGGGCAAAACATTGAGGACCAGTTGCCTAAAATTAAGCAAGACATCAAAATGTCACATTTTATATCAATATTGAACAGCACCTGTGGTTTCACGTATATGATCATTAGCATTTAGCAAATGACTTTTTCCTGTTGATACTGTATGGACATTGTGAGGGCCAACATTTATTGAATGTTCATCCTAAGAGAGCTTTTTCCAGCATTATTACTTTTACTTTATTTCAAAGCAATTTCATGGAGTGAAGAAAGAGTCTTTTCTTTACCTGTGAAGAGCCACACACTATATTCTATTCTTAAGCAAACATCCGAGTTCTGCAGAAACATAATGATAAATAGTTCAGCAGTGTCTTTCATAGATCCACGTGCCAATGATCCTTATGCAGACAACTTTGAACTCTGACAAGAGTGATCAATAACATGAAATCAACAAATATACAGCATGGGAAGAATATACTTTATTTACATGTATAATGTTGGACTGAATATTGTTCAAAGTGTAAAAAATGTTTTTAAAAAAGACTACTTTAAAAATTTGCAGAAATTGAAAATGAGAATAACCTGTGGAGGAAAATTATATTGCATCTGCAGAGTGACAAATCTAAAGAAGGGAAAATAACTAAAAGGAACACATTTTCTTGTTTTTTAAATTATTTTTCCTTTATTAGGTCCATCATTTTACATACAATAGGACACAACAAAGGCCGATGTAAATATCACACAAACATGGGCATACAAGGCCAAGACTTCAAGTGCAGTGAACAAGTGTTTTACACTGTTGACAGCAGTCCTCTGGAGATCAGCCTAAAAAGAGAGATAAGTACAATTTATTGTATCTAGGATATTACTGTGGGTTATACTGCTTATACATTAAAAGGCAGATAAGTCAAGTAAAGAAAAATAATCAAAGCTTCAATGAAGTTTTACATAGAGCCGATTGTGAATTTTACAAAATTTGGTGTTGTCTTATTATAATAATATTCCCTGACTGACAGTATGTAAGTATGTATGTATTAATGTAAGTGACAAAGGACAAAGCAAATGGAGTCTGTCCCACATTACTGCTGCTTCTGACAGAAAGTATTTATCCAACGGATAATGAAACACAAAGCCAGTAATGTCAAGAACCTTTAAAAAAAGGTCAAAGCTTGAAAAGCCCTTTTGAGCCCTTCATATTGCTAGTGTCAACACAAGCTTAATAGTACTGCTCTATAGTAAGAGGCATTTATATTTTCTCCTGTGTGAACACATTAAAGGAAGCATCAAATTCAGAAAGTACATTTTAACAAGGACAAAATATAAAGCAGTCTTCTCCCTGACTTTAACATCTCCCAGAAGCAAATGTGTAAAAGAAAATGTGGCAATTCTGGTGACAAACAAAATAAAAAGCAACCAGTTATTCTATATTAAATAGACAGGAACCAGATGAACTTATTTTCAAAACACTTATAAAGAATATTAAGAACATGAATATCTGTTGAAACAGAGTGGTAATTACCAATAAATCAAATGTTATTTGGACACCACTATTTTCTTGATATTTTGGAAGCATTAGGCAAAACTAATTTAACATTTTGAAACTGAATAAACAGTTATTTTTTGCTTTTTAACCTAGGCTTTTGCTGATCTAAGAAGTTGGAAAGTGAACCACACAAATTCACATTCTCAATTATTAAGTTTAAAGTGAATCTCATTAGAAAAACATCTGCACACTGAATTTTGCTTGAAAAGTGTAAAAATATTTTACTGTTAAAAGAATTACAGAAATAGAAAACAATTAAAATACCTCTACAATTTAAATTCCCACCCTTTAGTATTGGTGTGTTTTTGATATGCATCGTTTAAATAAATGACAAATCACAAAAACAAATTTCTGTAATCTTTTGAGACTCCCATGACAGGGCCAGTCTCAAAGCAGTATTCAGCTCTACCTACCCAGGGGATTGAGGTCTATGCTTTGTCAATGCCCAATTCTTCTGGTGTGGAGATGCCTAATTCATCCAGGGTAGGCCTCAGTTCCTGAATTACGTAGGGGTAGATATCTTTGTGAGGTCCTGCTTTATCCTGCCAAAACAAACTTTGGTTAGAACACTGGCAGCACCAACAGCCTGTCACCTTCACAGTCACAAAAATCCATTTGAAAAAAAGTAGATTTAAGGATCAGGAGTTAAATTTGGAAAACTGAACAGCTGACTGAAATCGTGTTTTACTGAACTCCACACATTAGGAGTCAAGCCTTGTTCATGCCCTTCAATACGCTTTCCCTTTCAGTTTCAAAAGGCCAAATGCTGTGAAATAAAGTGACTGCTGGGAGCACACAGCTAACCCTCGAGTAATGCCTGAAACAGAACACTTTGGATTCTTTAACTCTAAATTGTTAATGAAGCCACTGGTTCAAAGAAAGCAAATAAGAAATAAATGGGGACAGCTCACTGTTAATTAGAGGAAAAAAAGCAAATTAAGTGAAAATTATAGATTTTGGGGATCAAATTGAGGAGTCTTCCAAGTCAAAACCCTGAGCTGGTGCATTATTTGAATTTAATGTAAATATTTAACACAATAAAACAAATATTTAAAGCAAAAACAATGTTAAGCTATTTGTTAGGCTTATTATACATTGACCAACTTGATCAATCTAAATATTTATTACATTCGAGTGGTACTGTGACACCAGTGCTGTGTATGTTCTTCTGTTGCTTAAGGATATGATCATTTGGTTATTCAGTAGTTTACATAATGTAACAAAAGAAGACACTGTGACTTACAAGATTGCACGTAGCAGGGGTGTGTGTGTGTGTGGGCGGCATCATAACATCTCACTTTACAACCTGCACTTCCTTCTGTGGCGTAGTTCATTTTACTAGGAGACCTTATCATAATAAGTACTTCTCCATTTTATTTTAATGAAAGTTAACCTGTTGGTGTTCGGAGACTGATAAAACAGACCCTTAATGTCTGTATACCTCTCCTAGCATTACACTTGTAACATCTGTCCAGATTTAAGAGCAATAAACACAAAAGGGTACATATACTGTATACAAAAAGGATGTGGTACCAACTATACATTGTTTCATTAGAGTCAAGGGAGGCATTCTATTACATTAACTCAACACAAAAACAGTACTCGTAGTCTCAATGTTTTGACTTTCCTCACTCTGAATGTTTTTACAATCCTAGATTGGTAGACAAGAATTTCTGTATATCATTTGATTGCCGATATCTAGTTCACAGATTCGTATGGTTTGAGGATGTCTTCTGTCTCTATTCAAAAATCTTAAAAAGCAATACAAAATAGTGTAGAGTTGCTACACACAGCTCTGATGTACTCAGTTGATTTGTTTTTGCTCTAAATCTCGGAAACTATGGAAACATACTGACTTCCCCTGAGGGGAGTGCTGGGCTGGGCCTTCCTTATTGAAACGTCCTACTCTGTAACATATGTTTAATGGAGAAGAATACATAAGTATACTTAAATACAAACCCCTGTCATGTATCCATAAAGGTTACACAAGAGATTTTAAAATGTACCTTCGGTGTAAAGAAAAAGAGGCTCTATTAGCAGTCTCTCACCTTGACGGCCTCGAGGATGCGGATTGCGCTCGCCAAGTCATTTAATCTCCGGCAAGCCCGCAGGGCAGCGTCAAGGATCTTTGGTTCAGGTACCAGGTCGTAACCAATTAGGGTGTTCATGCCTGTAAAGCGAGGGCAAGAAGAACTGGGATTAAAGCTGTGGTCTAGAATTCCACCATCGTTTTCTGTTGAAACAGCAATAGTCTGCACAATCCAGGACAAACAACATTGATATAAAAGAAGTTAAAACCACAGCTTCATTATAAGAAATAACATTAAGACTTCTACGAGAAAAAAATGTTAATATCATGTATTACAAAATCTGTTCTGACCTATTTTAGGATTTAACCCAAGTCATTTATTGAGCTATAGTTGTATATCTATCCACTAGAAATGGAGAAGACAAGAGTACTTGCAAATCTCACTAAATACCAAAGAGAAAAAAAGGTCAAGGTTGCAAGAACTAATCTGGAAATGTACCTGCACACTCCTGTACGTTTTCAACTGCAGGAATGGTTCCATAATGAACATGAAAAATGCCATGCACTCCAACAAACTCACCTTTTCTCAGCTCCCAGGCATCGATGTCGGGTTTGTTGAAATAAGTGACCCAGCGGGCATCAAACTCTTCATCCGTTTCCTGCTTGCCATGTGAATAACAGCGGGAAACCACGGGAGCTAGGATGAACAAACCCGGTGTCAACAAGTGGGGTCAGGTACCAGATTCCACATTGAAAATCGTGAAATTCTGTTCTTCTGTATTTGTATGTTAAAGAAACAATGTCTTTAAATGTTAAAACAACTTTTTTTCTAAATACCTGCAAGAAATCAATTTAACCAGTATTCAGGAGGTTTAAATACCACGGGAATCTTTCCCAGTATCCTATCTTTCCAAATAGGATGCGAAGTGGCAATTCTATTTAACAGTTCTTCAAGTATATCTATGGTAAAAGTTAGACTGTATGTGAATGTCGCTGGAAAAAAGACACTGTCAAACCATTTTAGTCAATGGGCTTCCTTGGGCCAAAATCGTCCTATTTTGGCCCATCGTAAGCCTAATCATAACCCTGCTGGACATCTGGGATGCTCTTGAATAATGCATTCCAGCAAGGTACTCATGAAATGACCAATCGTTTTACAATCAATCACTCCCAATAGAAAACGCAGAGATGAATCTTGCATGAATGTGAACTTCCCGACTGGCAAAGAACATTGTTGCTGGCAGTTCTGTTGTACAGCTCATGTTTGCAATACTACTGCATTATGAAGAGGATGCAGAAACTGCAATCTTCCATTTTATAAAGGGGTAAAGTATTCACTCTTCAATTTTTCTAGCTACTATTATTATCATGGTTGTACAGTTCTTCACATTCAAATATTTTTAATAGATAGCCAAACAAGCGTTTTGTGTTTAGTCTTAGATTAAGGAAAAAAATTTAACACTAAGACAGAAACCTTTTGCTATAAACCAGATACAAACCTGGAAAGTATTGAGGATCTTTATTTAAATATTTTAAGATTTCCAAAAAATGTTTGACAACATTGTCAGCTTCAAAAGGTAAGACATCCCATAGAATCTTCAGGAAAAGACTTGTATTTTTTTTAAAACCCAATTGTCTGTAACAAAATGTCAATAAATCAAACCTTGTCTCAAATTACATAACTGCATTAATTAAATTAAAATATAATAGCACTATGCCCTGCAATGTCACACATACATCACAAAAGCAGTATCCATATTTAACAATACGGATACTGCTTTACTTCTTGAGGAGGCTCAGGTCCTTCAGTGTATGTAGTAAGATGCTACATATGTTCTATCAGTCGATGGTGGCGAGCTCCATTTTCTACGTCATGGTATGCTGGGGCCCTGGGATTAGAGCAGTGGATTCTAAAAGGCTGAACAAGCTCATCAGGAGAGCAAGCTCTGTCATTGGGTCACACCTGAACCCCTTGGAGGTAGTGGCTGAGAGGAGAATGGTGTCCAAACTAGAGGCCATCATGGACAACGTCTCCCATCCCCTCTATGACAGGCTTGTAGAAATGAAGAGTACGTTCAGCAATAGACTGATTCATCCACGGTGCGACAGGGAGCGCTACAGGAGGTCATTCTTGCCTTCTGCCATAAGACTGTACTACACACCCACCTTGCGTCTGGGCAGAGGCAACATCGACAGTGACCTGTTTCTGGACTGAACAGTAAACTGATACATCTGTTCTTTTTCTTTTTCCCTTTTACAAACGTTTTTGTGCAATATATGCCAGGGACCCGCGCAATACATTTATATTTATATTGTGCAATACGACTTTTTGTGTACTGTTCTGTTCTAGTTTGTTCTTTGAGTGTTCTGGACTGTGAGTAACTCTTCTTAGTGCACTTCTCACTGTACTGATTGGATTGTATTGTATTGTATTATTATTATTGTATCATTCGTTACACTGTGCTGTGTTGTCTGTGTTAAGCTGCTGTCGCCCTGCAGTTTCCCTCACGGGATCAATAAAGTATCTATCTAACAAGAAATTTTGAAAAGATCTCAAGTTATTTTTAAACGCTTCGAAATAATTCTGTGCGGCAAACAGGCTGCCATCATAAATTTTACTGAGGAATAAAAATTGCTCGATTTATCAAGCCATAACTATTAAAAACCACATGAGTCAAATAAAATCATGAACCATTTCCTGGTGTGAAATCTTATTCTGTTTCTGGTTTAAGCTATGCGGAGAAAGGTAGCTACAGATGCTAGGCCTTAAAGCCTTAACTCCAGTGGGTCATTACAAGGACACAATATATAGAACCAGAAAGATGTTTTAAGCCTTTTCATCAAATCACGTAAAATAACTTCACAAGCAGAATGCAAGATTTACTGCACTTCTTTTCTAGTGTGATAGGGTTTTATCCACATATTTGAAGACTGACCGCTATGTACTCCTGTGTGCTAGCAGCGACACTCAAATCCTATCAAGCTTGTGAACTGAATACAATGCACATTAAAACAGGTTAACTTTATATTTACAATGCACGTAGATGAGACGGTGATCTGACACATATTTTTTGGCATACAATCAATTGAAATACTAACTAGTGTTAAGAAACGACGGTGCAAGACCCAATTCAAACAAAGGTCCCCTGCGGTATGAGCAAATCTCAGTTCTATACCGCCTCTAAGGTTTTGTTCGTGTTTGTGAAACAAGATAAATAACCTAAAAAAAAAACCCACTACCCGATGTGCTCAGTTAAGACCTTCATCTACTCCACACAATGCATGTCTCGCTGCCTCTCGATCCTCCTCATTTCGCCGGCAAGACTGCATGACCCCTCAGGCCCAAGGCTCGCAATCTCTCCGGCGGAACCGTGAACCGACCTCCAACCCTATCGAGCCGACTCTTACCGCTGTGCTGCTGGCGAGTCCGGGCCAGGCTCCGAATACCGAAGGCTGTGTATCGAACAGCGGCTCTGAACATGGTGCGGGAAAGAAGAAGCGGAAACTCAATGAGACTCAGCACAAGAAGGGCATCGGAACGACACGGGGAGGGAAGCCGGAGTCGGCACTGCGGCTGCGCTACGCTGGCCGGGACCTGTTCAACGCAGGACGCTGACGAGAAAGGGTGGGATTAAAACGTGAAACCCTGCTGTGCTTTGAGATGACGTTGTAGGCAGACTGGAAAGGAAAGGAGCGTGCTTCAACAGCCGCTTTTGTATCAGCTGGTGCACAGTTTGTCACCGCTAGGAGCTGAAACTATTTAAATTCTGTAAAAACTTTGAGAAATAATAAAGCAAGGAAAACGTATGAAATTTGTAAAAAAATACAATTTGATCACATAATTTCCATCATTACCTCTGGCGGTTAAATGTTTTTTTTTCTGTGTTTTTTCTCTTGTACCTGTTTTTGATCCCCTGGTTGTAGTTGTGTTTGTAAATTCTGTATACGTTTAATAGTTTAAAAAAATAGTTTGTCACCGCTAGACGTAGCGGTGTGCATGAGTTCCTGGCCGTTTTCACGTGATTTGTGTTTCACAGTCACCTTTCGATTAGTGTGTTGGTTAATATAATTTATTTTGCGCGAAATTTATCGGTGGATCACTAGATATATCAAAGAGTCCAGCAGCCATGTCACCCTGCAACTTACAATTGGCAGGTGTAAAAAGTTTACATCAAATTAAATGCACTAAGTGATATTTCAGTCTTTCTGTCGTGACTTAGTATGCGTAGTATCGTTGTTTCATACTACTGGGTAATGAAATTTACTCCAAATAGATTCAGACTGACTACATAAATCTGAGATTGTTTTCGCATTTGGTCTTGAGTCTGACTCGCCTACTTGCTGATGTAGAACCATTTCCCGGAAGGATGAGACACTAACATCAAAGACTCATACATTTCAAATAAGTGAAACGTGTTGTCATTTTTGTTTTTTCAGAGGGCTTACAACTTAATGATTGGTTTTGCAAACAGGAAAAGTAGACACTTCTACATTGATGTATTCTAGTAAAACTCCAAACTTAAGACGCATTGTCGCATAACATCACGTTTTGTCTTCGCATTTGTCAAACCACAATGCTAACCTCTAACTTTGTCATTTTAAAATCATTCATCGTTGCATGTACTAATACCCAGTAGGAAACAACTAATACTGAGCTCACTAACGAGAGGCACAGAGGCTTTTATAGTACTACACTAGTACACAGAAGGTATTTAAGTGATAGGTTTGGATCTAAGCAAATGTCATGTTCTTTACACTTCATGACAACACGTCTGTTCCCGATTCGCATATCTTAAAATATGTGGATCAGCTAGCAGTTTTTTTATATGATCTCCCCACTCCATCAAATGCTTTCTCATTGTTTAATGTTTAACAACATTAAACAATGAGAAAGCATTTGATGGAGTGGGGAGATCATTGCCAGGTATAGAGCTGATCCCCTTAACCAAGTAGACTGATCTCATCGTTCTCTGAAACAGCTCTTGTAAGAGGTCTAGTGCTTTGGAAAGAGAATGTTTGGGTAAAGTGGAAAATGCATGAAAAGCAGTTTAACTCCTTCAGTACATCCCATTTAAGACCAATTCTTTCTCTGCCTGATGCTGAGAAATTAGTTCATGCTAATGAACTAATGCGATCTAATGCTAATTAGTTCATGTTAATCTTCTCAAGGTTAGACTACTGTCTAGATACTGCAATGCTTTATTAGCTAGATCATCCAAGAAACGACTATAGAAACTACAGTATGTGATTATCTATGTTCACTGAGTGCTGTCCAAGATTAAAAAAATTCTGAACATATTAGTTCTCTTTTGCTGAAAACCAGCACTGACTACCAGTCTATTACAGGACAGTCTTTTAAATTATCTTGTTGACCTATAAGGCATTGCATAGGTTGTCTGCTGTGTACCTTCAAGAGCTATTGTTTACACATGTCCAATTTCACTCACGTTGTTGACTTGTATCTGTTCTGCTTAACGTTCCAAAGACTTCACATTGTACAGTACATTAGGGGACTAAGCTTTTTCATTGGTTCCCTCTTTTTCTCTTACTGACCATATTAAAAATACAGCTTTCTTTGATGTTTTTAAATCTTGCCTTAAAACATATATATATTCTTATGCTATTAAATTCTTAATCTATTTCTTTCTTTTAACTTTCTCAGTTATATTTTTCCATATATTCTGTATACTGTAATGATTTTTATTGTATGTGTTGTATTTATTGTCTTTAGGTAAAGTGCCTCAAGAACGCTCAGTTAAAAATAAAATTGATTGCTTGAATTATAAATCTGCGTTTACAGACCAAGCACTTCAGAACCGAACGCCATTAACTTAAGAGTGTCCACTTTTTGAATCAAATATTTCATTTAATCTAGTGCACAATGACATATTTCCCCATCCACATCTCACTATTGGGAAAGTGAGGAGGTTAGACAGAGTACATCTGCCTTTTTTCTGTCAGGTGTAGCTTAATGTGAAACTAGAGCAACGTTATTGCTGTTATTTGCTTACCAGTAAAAACCTCAGTGAAGTGATCTCACTTGATCTTTAGACTGGACTCATATCAGAAGAGTCTAGCAACAGAGGTATCTTCACAAGACTTTTCCTTTTGTAAAAATGAATTGGAGTGACTTTATTTTCCCCCAATAGCTACTGGAAATATAACACTTTTCTTAATATGAAATACTGTACATATTCCATGATTCCATGATTCCATGATTTTGTTGTATCTCAATATTGTTTAAGAATTGGTTGTGTTTATAAAATTAAACAATCTACTCCTCTGTCTTGATATATTCTATCATCTTTATATGCATGCATGTGTGTATAATGCAATTATTTGTCTTTATGCACTGATTGTAAGTGAAAAAGAAGGAGGGCAGTTCAGAGTCCATTTCCTTTAAGATTCCAAAACATTGCTCACCCTAGGTTTTTCTCTAACCATAATCCCAGTCCCAACCATAAATTTGGACTAAGTCATTAATCCTGTAGTGGACATTGTATTTTTTAAATATGTAATCAGTAAGTGTTAAATCCACTTATCATTAATTTATCTTCATGATATGCCTATCTTTACTGTTCTATAGCAATTGTAAAAACAATCATCGACAGTTTGACAGTTTCTGGGTGAAAAAAAATACTTTAGCCTTTACTTACAGTGATACAAAGGGAAGACTTCAAATGTCATCTGTGTTTTGCAGCTAGAAAACACTGAAAGAATAAATATTCAATTTAAAGGATTTTTAGATAAGTGAAGTTGAAAAATGGAGGCAGTGCCCAGTCCATAAGATAAGGGAGCAAAGAACCATCTGGAATGAGTGAGATAGTGAACTCCCAAATGCAACGCTGAAGAGGTCTGGGTTTCATCTGCTGCTTATTAGAAAAAATGAACCAGTCTTACTTTTAAGATAAGTTTTAAATTAATTTACTTTTCTTATTGTAGGCTTTGTGGGTTAGTGGATTTAAAGAAATACTCATATGAAATAAATATAATCAGAAAAATGCTTTTATAAAATTTTGACAGCGAGCTCTGAGCCTCACATGTTTTGCATTGAAAATGCAAGACTTTTGATCACATGGTAAGTTATTTGAGTTAAAAAAATTGTACATAACAAGAGTGCAGTCATCTGTTTGATAACCCCATTTTTTTCAACAACGACCCTCACAAGGAACAGAAGTGTGTAAACATATGTTTTGTTCACATGCAGGTAGACTGAGCACATCAGAGGAGATGATTTAATTAGCCAGGCCTGAAGACTTCTTAAGAGCACAAAGTACTAGAGTCTAACCTTGTTCAGCTTTTGTCATAAATGATGTTCTTCCTCAATTATTATTTACTGACAAAGCAATACCAGCAGTTGAATGCACTGGTGACTAACAAAAAAAAAAGCTGTTAATCTTAAAATAATATTTTAATAATATTTTACCCCAAATGGGGTACTAACATAATAGTGCTATGCATCTACTCTTCCTGGGATGTACATGCTACTGCACTTCCTATGAATTCCAAGAGAATCTGCAGCTGTGATGGTACCACATTTTATCAGTGTCTTCTTGTATTATCAATCTTTTTTTAATCAGGGTGATGCTTAATCCTGTACAGCAGACAGTCCAGAACAAGAGAACTTGCTCTGAATTCCTGAGAGACATTCTTCTTGAATCTTTAAATAAAATGCAACATAAACTTTGCATCCTCAAGGTATACATTCTTCACACCACTAAGGATAACTGAATTGCAGTGTCAATCCCTGGTATACAATACAAGATAGCTGGTCCTTTTTTACCTTTGGTTGCTTCACACTGTATGAAGCTGTCCAAAGCTGACAAGCTGTGGAATATGCCTGGGATTTGCTCACAGTTAACTTAAAGTATTGTTGTGCTTTAAATACATACCACTCTTCCTGAGCTTAAAAAAGACTGCATTCTCAGCAAAGACTAGTCAAGCGTAGGAAGTTATCTGGTACTATGTAAGGTGCTTTGAGCTTTATTTGGGCAAAAGGAATCTGTAAATAGCGAATGTTATTATGCTGAAGGCATTGAAAGTTTTATTTAACATGCACTCAAATAATGCAGTTCTATTGTTTAACATTGAAACAATTGCTAATATTTTCAATCTCAATATGTGTATATAGAAATGCATTCTAGAACAGTATTTAAGATTTAGAAATAAGATGCTTAATCCAAAGATTATGAAATGAGCACATGCAAGATGTAACTATGGGATGTGATCTATATAATACAGTCTATATGATATATAATCAATCTATATGATTTGTAATGCGTTGCAATGTTTAGATAATGTAAGTGGAAAATATCTGCTTCTAGGTTGATTTCATCTGGTTGCGCAGTGAACTCGGGATATTTCTGCTTTGGCATAATCTTTCTGAATGCCAGGAAATCAGTGTTGAATCCAAGGAAGTTATCGAAAGACCCAGAGTCAAGGCTGGTGTAAAATTCAGCCTGAAAACTCAAATGGCATTTAAATAAAATACCTTTTAAATTACCATGGGAAAATGTCTGGAAAGTAAGTAAAGGCTTTTTATATTTTATTATAAAACAATATAATATCGCACACAAAACATTATTATTATTATTATTATTATTATTATTATTATTATTATTGTTATTTTTATTATTATTATTATATAAATAATTTTGTCTGTGGCAGGGGGCTTCTGAGCAAGCCTTCCCTATTGCATGTTAACATAATCTGACTTCTGTTTTAAAATAATTAATGTTGAAAAATTTAAGTGCCCTTGAGCTTGCTGATGTGTTGAACAGTAGAGGTCAGTAGAAGGCTGTTCTGTCGTCAGTGTCCTCATTATTCCCTTAGGAGACATTCAAGGTCAAAGGCGATTACAAAGGGGTTATGAGAACAAGTACAGTATTACTCATACATGTTTTCCTGATGGGATTCATATCTTAGTTTTATTATCAATAGGATAATCTTCCTAATTACTTGTAAGTGTAAACCTACTTATCTTCGAAGAAAGAGATACTTTGACCCCAAATCCTATTCTTATGATTTTCTTGTTACTAGCTTACTCTACTATAAACACAATTTTTTAAACAATATCAATAAAATTAACCTGAATTGTTTCAGACCTTTTAATTGTCATTGTTTATGGTTGGATTAAACATTTAATACAAAGTATTAGAATTAAAAAAAATATCAAAGAACATTTTTCTCAAACATTCTTTTATTAAATATATTTAGCTGTTTAATTTGAGAAGTGGTGCATTTACATAAAATTGCACAATATTTTTGAAAACAATAAAAAGCTCCTCTTCCCAACATGTCCTACTGTATACCTGTTTTATTTACTCTCCATAATAAAGTCTTGTACACATCTAAGTTATAACACTGAGGGATTCTTTCATGAATTCTATACTTGTCGGGTTTGACAAAACTAAGTATCATTTTCTTCAGTACATAATAAGGGTTGTGAGACATGTTTTTTAGAATCACTCCAACTTTTCTTTGGGATGTGAATCTGAATTTTTTGGTGCACAGTTCAGCATGTTAAGACATAAGAATATGGATCAGAATCTTTCAAATTAAAGGTATATCGTCACATTCTAAAGATGGAATCAGGCATTTAAATCATAATCCTCTTCATTACCAATAGCAGTTTCCTGTACAATATTATGTGTGGTGTAACTGGGGAAACTTTGGCGAGGTGGTGGTGTTATTACCACTCGAATACTACCGGTTCAGAAATCAATTAATTTAAATATAACTCTCTTTTTAATCAGTAAAGACTTTGCTTTCCCATTAATCCCTTTATAATATTGCTTTATCTACCCATTCGCTGAGATGTGCTATTGAGTTGTCCTTGATTACCTTTTCTACATTTTACATTAAGGCAAAATACTTAATGCTTAATAAAGAATGCAGGTCAATGACAGCATTAGAAGGCCATGGCTATACAAACTGCAAAGAAGAATAACATGCATGCAATACTAAACCACCCCTATCCTGTCTTGTTTGACACAATCACTGATGAGTTCTAAATTCCCATTCTGTTTGTCTAGCACTTGGTTTCTATTTGAACTATAAAGTTTAAAATGTATGCTACACAGTGACCATACTGACAAATGCTGTTAGTTAAAAAAAATTTTAACATTATCTATCAAACTAAAAAACTTTAATTAAATATCTGTAGCATGAAAAACAATGCCTTTCAGATTTTCTTACTGGCCTGTCTGTTTATTTAGCACTTTTCTTTATTGCAAATAATAATTTGTGTTGTGATGTAATGTGATTTTTTGCAGTGCAGTGATGCCACAGGAAACATTTGAATGCATGCAGAGCTTTCATAAGGGAAAAACAAAAATATAATGTCACATATGTCAGGAATAACAGTGAGCGGCCTGCATAAGAAAGACAATTCACTCTGAAAGGCATCTAACCTTCATCAGGGAAGATACTGGCCGTGACAGACAGCTGTAACACTGGCCACAATCATTTAGTGAACAATCAAGGGGAAAGAACAGCTGCACAGGTTTTTTTAATTGACTGCTGTCTGTGATAAGCAGGAACACCTGCCTAGGGTAATAATTAGAGAAATTGAGAACCCACTCCAATATTAAGCACAGGTCCTTATAAAAGGGCAGAAATAATGTAGTAGCTTGATATAAAGTAAAAGAAAAACTGGATTAACTGCATAATTAAAATAATGTAAATCAATACTCACTCATGTTGTGCAATTCATTTAATGGATATACATTACCAGAGCATCATGCTATAAACTGTAAGAAAATGTCCAGACTTTGAATTTTGAACAGAAACCTTTTGAAGACTTTTCTTAACATGCTATATAGAAAAGAATTACCTTACAAATTCCATGGACAAGTAGATTGTATCTGAAGTATTGACATATTTTTATTGTGCTGTAGGTACAGAAATGCCATATTTTTCTTGCAGCTGAAGAGAAATCAGTTTAGTTCTGAGTGTATTTTAGATTTATTTATTAACTTATGTATTTATTATCATGCAAATGCTACAAGAAAATGTTAGTTTGATCAGGAAATAAATAGATATTTTCTCTCAAAAACATTGGGTCCTGTGGTATGTAAGTGGCATGTTTTATATGAGTTCTTGAAGTGTTCATTAACATGTGGGATGCTGACACCATCCACTATCACTCTCCTCTAAATCAGTAATTTACCTCAATCTTGACCTTGCTATTCCCTGTCATTGTGCTCAAAACCTACTCAATCTCAATAAACAGTGCATTGTTTTTTGTAGAGAAAGAAAAAGGCCACAAAAAAGCTCTGGCCTCCATAAGGGAGACATTGAAAGAATAAACCTCATTTGACTGTGAATCCTATTCTTTCAAGCTTTCAAGCAATAATGGATACTTGATGAAGCTGTGATTTTAATATCACAGTAGAAAAGGGTATTCCTTAGACAAAACATAATTAATTCACAAAAAACATTACACCAAATGCTCATATTGGTGCCTATTATTTTCAAATCAGGATTTTTTCTGGAAAACCCTAAAAATAGTTTTTATTAGATCAATCAGTGTCCAAAATTAGGATGCAATCAATTCATATTGAGATGTTTTTGGTTTTTTCTATTCTTTGGATTAAGTTAAATAATAGTTCAGGTGGGTAGCTGCGTCAGCATGCGTAGGCTGCAAAGGAACAAGTAATAGGTTTATTCCATGCTGAAAAAAAGAAGAAAGAGAACACAACGTTTCGGCCGTGAAGGTCCCTTTGCCTACTGCCCTGTCTCTCTCACACCTGAAGAAGGCTCCACGGCCGAAACGTTGTGTTCTCTTTCTTCTTTTTTTCAGCATGGAATAAACCTATTACTTGTTCCTAAGTTAAATAATAATCACTATAGAGAGATGTTACCGGTCATTATCCTCTAAAAATGTTATTAGCAAACACAGGATTATTTGAATTAATGGCAGTCTAAGAATTGGTTGGCCTAGCTAAAATCAATTTGAATCTTACTATTTTATCAAATAATGTGCATGAGATGAGATTATGTTTTAAAGCAGAATCACTTTTGGTTATGATACTTAAATCAATTTAAGCACTGTAAGTAAGAAGTATAGTATAAAATGCCTTGGACGATATTTGCAGACACAACTTGGAAGTTGTTAAAATTGTATGAATGTATATATATATCTGCAGAACCTACCTTACAGAGATAAAAAGAATATCATATTGGTGAATGCATGTTTGGCTGTATTATCCAACCTGGATAACATGGATTTTGGAAAGTCAAAATGTTTATAATCAGCATACAATGCATTTAATAAAAAGAGAGATAAAAAAATAAACTCTTTTTTCCACTCCCAATCTTACACCTTTTAGCGTATTTCAATTGCCCTTGGAATTCACCATGTTACAGACATATTTTTGCATTAATACACTGTCCAGTTGTATTAAGATTGCTGTGCAAGCATTAGTCAGGATGGACTGTTTTCTTTACTGAGTAGTTTATCTACCCTAGCTAATGTTCTGAATAGGTCGGACTATGACATAGTCTAACTATACTGTGGTGTGGTATTTTGAAGTATGACAAAATTTCTCTTGAGCATGTTAGAGGACCCACTGAGAAAAAAAAATGATATTGCTATCCAATGCTATTGGATATTTCTACTCTTATCAGGAAAAGCTGGAAGGACATTTCATCCATCAGTCAGGTCATTCGAAAAGTCTTTTCCCAAACTAAGCCTCTTATTATCTGGCTCGACGGTGTCTGTCAGAAAGCTGAGTGGACGCTTACTGCCTTGTGGTGATGGGATGTCTACTTCCTTCTCTTCCTGCTGGGCTTCCCATATGGTACTAAGAGACTCTGGGGGCTGGTATCCGTGTTCCTGGGGGTCCAGTGGGTCCTTGGAGAGCAGGATGCAGATGGAGGGCACATTTTTGTGGACAGTCATCTCCGAAGCCTGGCCAGGCCCTTCCTCTTGGCTCTCCCAGACCTCCTGCAGGCCCTTGTACCTTAGTTTGGTGATCTGATGGAGCCCCCCCATTTTGCGCTTCATGATCTCCACGCAGGTGATGGTTTTAGTAACAGCGCGGCCGGAGCCGTTGAAAATGATCTGTCGGGTGCTTCCGCTCTCCATCCGTGCCATGGCATAGCCCATCAGATTGCGGATCTTGCTGCCCTCCTTAACCCGCATCTCCACCACGTTTGGGGGAAGTCCTGGGAATGGCGGTGGGCTCTCCTCCTCCATCTTGCCCACCTTCCTGAAATTCCCGGCCCCCAGTTTATTAGTTGTCCCATGTGGGGCACATCCAAAGCTGCTTGAGGAAGGGGGTTCCTTGTGCGTCCTCACAGAGAGCGGAAGAATCGCATCTGGGTTTATGCTGACCTCCATCAGGAATAAGGTGGTTCTGTCTGTTTTGTTAATATTTTCAGCCCAGGAGTCACTTTGACGTAGTCCCCCCAGCTGCACAGGCAGTGCTGACAATTGTAGAATCTCTTTCTGGAATAGACCACCTTCATTTTAAAACTCCAGCGAAACAAAATCCTTGAGTTGCCTTGTTATTAGGCAGTGTGATCCAAACTATGGATCTCCTAGCAGTCTGGGAAAAAATGTGTGACATTATTGAAAAGACGCTCTTGTTACTGTCCTGGGGGCGCTGAATCCAACTGCTAAATTATTATTTTGCGAGGAAATAATTTCCACAATTCCAAGGTTAACAAAAGTCTCATTCATGAAACAAAATTCAACACAAACAAGACAGTATAAACGCCAGCATTGAAGGAGTCTATGCAGAGCCCTACAGAGTGCAAAGAGTTAAAAAGAAAAAAAACAAACCTACGCTTCAAAGACGAGACACTCAGCGGACCTTAAATTGGCCAACAGTCGGCACATTCTCGGGAACGCTGCATTAAAGGGCATTTCAGTCCCCTGAAAAGAGCATTGCTGAATAGATGTAGAAAGCTCATCAGCTTTAACAAAGTCCTCTCTTTCCAGGTTCCAGCCTTTCCAGTGAGTGAAATATCCCTCTACCTGAAACTTTTATTGTCCTTATAAAAAAAATGTTCCTTTTTCTGCCAAGATAGCCAAGCTCCAGGAGATCACCAGTGAAGCTCACTGCACAGTGTCCCAAAGTACTGCTCAGTTTGGGAAACCCTATGTTAACCTTGTGCTACTCTTCCTCTACTTTAAGATTCAGATACTTTACTGGGGAGCACCCTTTTTTCTGTCACCCTTCTGGGTCTCTTCTCTGACTCAGGCGTGTGAAATCTCTGCTGCAGGGAGCCTGAGAGCTCCAAACCACTTTTCCACTGCTCACTGCCCGATGGTTCCCACTGATGTCTCGTCTGTCTGATATGCATTGCTACAAAGAAACACAGGGACAGCTGCTGGCTTGCAAATGCAGTAGGAGGAGTGTCTGTGTGAAAGAGAGAGACATTGAAGGAGAGAGAGGGAGAGAGGGAGGGGACTGTCTTCTTAAAGGAGCAGCACCTAGTCATTTATCACAAGCTCCAGTACAAATACTGCGACAAATCAAGAAGTGTGCAATTTACAGTTACCCAATGAGTTCTCTACAAATTCACACTGCAAATTTGTAGTCATTTTTGAAGGATATTTATCTTGATGAATAACTGCAGTCAAAGTATTTCACATTATTTCTCAGGATGGGGTGCAGAGATACTTGAATAAGCGGAATGATATACTTAAATAAAATGTTACAGAAAGTTTACAAACTGAACTCATATTAATGTAAGAAAAGTTACAAAAGAGAGGTGGTCATTCAGTCCTTCTAGGTGATTTGGTCACCAATTAATCTGAGGATCTTATCCAGACATTCCTTGAAATAAATAAGGGTATTAGCTTCAACAACATGGACAGATGTTTGTTCCAGGCCCCTACAACTCTTTGTGTGAAAAGTGGTTCTGAAGAAATCTACTGTGCTGATTTTATCAATGCCTCTGAGGATTTGGAATACTTGAATCTGATCCTGTAATGTTCTATATGCAAGTCTAAACAGATTCAGTTCTTCTTGCCTGTCAGTGTAAGATTTTTTCTTCAAGCCCAGTAATTAGGAGTATACTGATTCTAAATCACCAAAATCTTATTGGAACACAGGGATATAAATTGTACACCGTAATCTAAATAAGGTCTTACTAGTGTATAGCACTATTTTACAATAACAGCCCTTACTTTAAACTTCTATACTTATTAGCTTACCTCCACTACCACAAAGAGAATAAACTGTTCAGTCAGTCTATTGAAGTTAATACCATAATTTCTTTCAAAAAATGACTTTATGAGATCCTTGGGCCAAACAGCTGTAAGCATCCAATCAAGCTTGATAGGCCTAATGTTCTACTTTCATCCGCAGAAATTTTTGTCTTTGTATTATTAAAAACATATCTTGTTATGAAAATGGTTTAATAAAGAACACAATTTCCTTTTAATACACAGATGATTTGATAAATCAGAATTTGAAAGACGGCATGTTTGCATCTTTTAAGACTGTGCTTATAAGCAGAATGTGATAAAATCATCATGTATGAAAAAGTACTCAAAGTCAGTCATGTAATACAGGAATGTACATAACCCTGGAATCCATACAGTGTCGGTTATGAATAATGTAATGTACTGTCATATATGTTTAACTAAATAAACAATGCATTCCACTTAGCAAGAGTGCTCTGTCTTTCTTGTTTTTCTTACTCAATCTCTCCAGAATGGTGATTTATTTTTATGTGGAGGGCATGATAAAAATCCATGCAACGTTAAAGAACGCTAAGAGTATTATTATTATTATTATCATCATCATTAGTAGAACTAATAGTATAATTATTAAACTAACAGTAAGAATTATTATAATATCACTAAGAAGGTTTTTTGTGCCCTCCTCCATGTACTGTATTATACAGGAGGGCTGTTTTTTTGCAATGGGGCTGCGGAACAATGACCCGTGAAAAACTTGGGCTGACTCAGCAGAAACTATGGCCACCTTCTTCTGCTGATTCAGGGAACAAACCCTTTCATTAGTTTGCTTCTCACACAAACCACAAAGCCTTGATTTAAAAAGAAATTTGCCTTTTTCCATAGCAGACATCTTCAGGTCTCTTTATCAAAGCAGAGGTTTAATGCAGTTAAAACGATGTATTACACAGCTTTAATATATCCCTCATAATCAGTGATAGTTCAAATGAGAAATATATTTATTTTTATCAGCACTGGGAAATATCAAATGTTTAATGATGCCCAATTTAAATACATAATTCAGTTTACATAACTCTTACTCTAGTAATTGCAATTGTTTGGAAATGTCATACTCTTTATTTAAAGAGACACATTGATTAGATGGCTTTCATAAAGAATACAAAAAGAAGGCCAATCTTAAAAAGTACTTCTATCCTCTGTTTTTTTTCTACAAATAAATAAATCTATTACTAAACTGCCTGAACAGGACCTGTTTGTGATTTAATGTATACGATAATCTTTAATGGGTCTCATGACAGATTAACATTCCTGACATACAATTTGGTTTATGTTGTCTAACATGAACAAAAACCTGCCTATACATAAACTTTTCATTTGTGCTATCATTTGTGAACAACCCAGGAAGATTTCTTAGCTCCACTTTCATTTAATTCAATAGAGACTCGGGAGAAATTTATCTACCCTACACTAATCATCCAATTCTTTGATCCCACAAAACTGGCAAAAGCATTTCCTCTATTTTGTTCCATTCAATTCCCCTATTTCAATCAGTGAGTAGCTTTTCTTTGTATTCATATCTCAAATATGTGACATAATATGTCAAAATCACATTGCACCTACTGTAAATATTTTCTAATTCTATTCCTGCCAGTAAAAATATCTAGACTTGTGTCAGAAGGAAGATAGGAGTGATAAGTACAATTTTGCATCAGACACTGCAGGTGATACATAACAGCTTTTAAACCCACAGTATTCTGTAGAATTTACAGCAGGAGAAATAAAGACTGTGCATCACATACTTGCAGCGTAGTATAACTCTTATGTCTGACATTACAGGTTGTGCGAGCCGGCTTGCCAGCGCAGTGACGTCAACCCCCTTCACTGTGAATAGCATGGACCTCAGCTGTCGGGCTGAGGGGAGATTTCCCTTTAGTTCAACTGGCTGGGTCCCTGTTGAGTGATGCCCCATCGGTGGGGGTCTGACTTGAGGCCGAAGCGGCGAGGGCACATACTGTATCCACGTGAACCCGAGAGTGCTACAGTATACTGCACTATGCAGACAATTACCAAAATTTTTCATGATAAAAATCACATTAGAAAACAAAAATACTTTTGTAAAATGTCAGTTAATAGTTCACAGAATGTTTACTATTGGTAAATAATGAATGTGCATTCTAACATAGTTAGCAAAAAGGTAAGGGTTGTACTGTAGTTATATAACAGTTTATTTTAGAGCTATTTGGAGTCTGCACTCATTGTTTCCCAAACTTTCAAGCATAGAATTTTCCTATGAGTGAAAAAGAGTACAAAACACTGTGAATAAAAAAAATAGTGAATTATAGTGGTAAATGACCTTTCTATTTTTTCTTCTATGATTGAAAAAAATAACTGTTGAATTTTCAATTGAAGAACCATATGTAAGTTTTAGTTTTAAATATTGTCTTTCTGAAATTACCTGTTAATTCAATGTACTTGTCACGCCCCACACTCTCCCTCGCAAACGACGTCACATTCCCGGAACCTCTGCTTCCCAATCTCATCCCTGATTGAACCCAGCACATTCTCACACGCACCAGATTCCTCAAATTCTCACTCCCTAACCAATCATCCAATCACACCCCTTTCCTTTCAGTATTTAAACCCCCTTCGCACACCTTCCCATGCTCACTATTGAGAAGCCTTCATAGTATTCTCCAGTGTGTGTTTCCAAACTTTTTGACTGATCTCCTGTTATGAATCTTCTGCTTCCACCTCTTGACCTTGCCTTCTGGATTTTGACTTTTGGATTGTTTTTGGATATCTCTTGTTACTGGACCCTCTGCCTCCCTTATTGACCCAGCCTTTGGATTGTCCCTTTGCTACTCTGCGTCCTGTGGGATTCCGGTCACGCACAAGGATCCTCCTATTCCACGTATAGGTTCTGTTACAGTACTCATAGAATCATTTCATTAAATGCACTGGGGGAAGTACTAGCATGTCAAAATCAATCCATCAATAAACCTAAATCCTAATCATAAATGGGAGCTTTTAAGTTATTTTACCTTAAGTTTGTTTCACTGGTTTAAAGGAGGTGTTGGAGGTGAGTTTGCAAGGTTATTTTGCTGTTGTGGATTTTCTTTATCAACAGATTACATGATGGCCTACTACAAGAATGCTAATAGATTGCCAGTGGCAAATTCTGATAGTGTTACATTTCTGTGGACAGCAAAAAGGCCTATTAAACATTAGATGATTTGTTAACAAAACAGTCCAGCCCTCTTAGAATGAATGCATAAGAACACAGACAAAGAGCATTCTTGGAAGACACCAGCAGGGATGCACAGGGAGTGTGTGTGGATTAAAGTGCATGAATGTTATGGAACACAGCTGATGAAAACAGGGAGAGCTGGCAATCTTTTTTTTTAAGGGGTTCTAATGCTTGAGCTGTTGCTCTGCTGCAGGAGACTGGAAACAAATGGCACTAATTTCCCCACACGGAGGGCGAACACAAAAACAACCAAACTGATCATTTTCCTGTTCAGAGAAATTACTCTCATCCGTCATGTGGAGATGCACAGCTGCCTGAGGGAGTATCTGCTGATGATACAAAGAAGAAAGACAGAGAGAAAAGAATGTCACAGTTGAACTTCCACACTTCACAATCAGGGATCTGGCAGAGTTTACTCTTCATTAAATAGAACCTCTGGTAGTCAAAGCCTCCGAAAAAAAATTGTAACCGAGAATATCCACTGGGTAATAAAGTTAATAAAACCAACAGAAAATGGAGCTAAAGAACACTTTATTGACCAAGTCTATTGACTGAAGACAAGTGTGTAATGCTAGGTATGCCATATTGCTCATTTTCTTTTTTCCAATTCTTCAAAGAAAGCCTGGAATTTACACTGGCTAGAAAAATCTCCTTGTAGTTTTGTTTTTGATGAACAGAAAAAGTGCCCAATAATATCTTAGCTTTTAGTAGTTCTTTAGTGTAAGACAAAGTCACATGACCTTAACTTTTATATCATAAGGTAATTAATCTATCAACTCAGACACATGTTTCTATGACTATAGCAATTCCTTGATTTATGGGGAAAGTAACAATTCTTTAAACAAAAACAAGTGATATTTTCAAAAACATCCCTGTTTAACAGCTGAGCTTAAAACCCCTTTTCCTTCCTGGCATAAGTAGAAAAAGCAGAC